AACCATTTCGCCGGCAAAAATGCGGCGCATCTCGAGAAAGAAGGGACGATCGGCTGCGGCAAGGCGAAGTAACGATGTTCCGTCTCGCGAAGATCCTCGCGGACCGCGCGATTTCAGGACGCCTTTATCGCGTACGCGGCAATTTTTCGCTTTATTAATAAATTATCCTCGCTCAATTTGACGCGTCTTTGAAGATTTCTCTCTCTCTTCGCTCCGCGCGAGAGTGTCGTGCGATAAAGCAAAACTCGATCCCGCCGCGCCAGTAGCTCCGCGGCAGCTAGAAAGTTACACGAACGCTATAAGGACGAGAGACGGATCCACCGGCACGCCGTGGCTCGATCCGGCTCTCGATATACAAAGGGGAACCTCGTTATCAACCGGTCCCATCTTATCAGGTCGGCGCGGCATCGCCGGTAAATCATCGGGGTCCTTGGCGGGGCACCTTTAATTACCGGGCGTGCACGGAGAGGGGAGGAGGGAAAAATATGAAGACGTAATACGTTATCCGGTTGCCTTCCTCCTCCTCTCCGGCTGCCTACCGGTAGATAGAGAGGCCGGTCCAGTTGATGCCGAGAGGCGTTGCTCATAAATAATGAACACGTATTCATGAACGCCACCGGTTGCTTGGTCCCCGGAGATGAGCGGCCGCGACCAGGTGCTGCCGCTCTCGCAGAATCCCGCGGACACGTCGCGATCGGGAAAACCACCTTCCTCGCGTCGACGCGAAACCTGCCTCGTTGCGCGAGCGTTGCGTTGACCGCGCGGATTTTACGCGGTGTGAAACGGGCGCGTCTAAACGCGCGTTTCCCGTCGTTCATCGCCGGGGAAAAACGGGCTTTTGGATAACAGGCGTGGGCTGCCTTCCGCGGTATTAAATCGCTCGGCCGGGACGAGTCGTGAGAACGATGCACCTCGGGGCCGCGCGTGCGCGCGCTAGTCGATCGCGACCCCGCATTCACGATTCGTTCTCTTCCAGATACTCCCGACGAGATAATGTTTCGGCAGAAATTTTCCCCTCGATATCCTGCTAGAAATATACGCACTTTTCCTACATTACCCCTTTAGTTACTGTCTAATATTAATGCATTCCCGAGTCGAAATTTTTCATTAAGTCTTCAAGTGAAGGAGAGCGGAAATATGTTTGCACTTATAGCACTTGTAGCACCAAAGAAGCACAATGGAAAATCTTTGAAGATTTAGTGTAGAATTAAAATAGATCTTTAAAAAATCTTTAGAAAATTAGGACTTAAATCTTCGCCTCGAGTTCTTAGGTTATTATTAGTTGTAACAATATTATGTAGGAAATGGACGAGAACTTGGTAGGGTTTTATTCGGGAGTACTTCTGGGCCAAAGCTGCCAATTTCATAAGCAGCAATTTGCTTATTAATCAATTGAACAGTTTTTTGTCCACTTATTGTTCTGTTTTCGTTGAGTAAAGGGGTTGAAATTTGGCGCGTCTTTTGCGCGCACATCGAGAAAAAGAATCAGCCTCCTGCCAGCTGAAAACTAGCTCCCACAGCTAAAAATGAGTTACTCGTGTGATACAATTGAAATTTAGTTACCAGTTTCATTTGTTTAATTTCTGGATCTTTTCAGCTTCTACAGCTAAAAAATTAGGTTCGCTAACACAGTTTCACTCGTTCCGAATTTTTATATTTCCGGAGAACAGGTTACGCGCGCACAGTGATCCTCGCTGTTTCAATTTCGAAGAGAACGCTCGGAGAGTGTCATTCTGTTCGACCTATTCGTCATCCCGCGTTGCGAGATTTTCCGCGCGGCGGACGGCGTCACGAGCGCGCTAATTAATTCCCGCGAGAGTGTTTGATGGACGACGGTCCGGCGGCGTATCGATCCGGCCGAACGATTAATACATCCCGTTGCGCGCGCGCGCAATGCAGCGCGACGCGGAGGAGGTCGACGGACTGTTTAATCGGCGATAGTTCTCCGGGAAAGAAAATGGTCGAGGTGGTAATCGCTACCTGCGGAAGCCCGGCGATCGACGCCAGATAGGATACCAATATAATGCACCGTCCGTCGGGACGTTTCGACGAGCAGCAGCTCCGCTCGCGTCGTTCGCTCGAATAATCTCGCGCGGCCGGAGCGGATATCTAAACGAGGAGCTCGCAGCCAGCCTTCGGGCGCACATACGTACATACATATAATAACCCAACGTAGAAGTGGAGTGTTCTTCCCTCCTTCTCCCTCTCTTTCACTCTTTCTCCCGAGTGATATATATCGGCCACGATATATCGTCCTTGATGGTACACCTCGAAGCCGTGGTCGAAGCTACTCGTTGCTCCTCCACGCACACCCCACGCCGCGGTTGCGAGGCAGAGCGCGCGCGCCTCGCCCTCGCGAAACAATATGATGGTTAACGTAACAAGCTCTCATCTCAGCGCCGCGCGCGCGCTGTTCTACGCGCCGGGATATCCTCCCACCGCGCGGTCGCGCGCCCACCGGTTCTGAACACGTCCGGACACCCGAGGCGACGCTGCCCGGGTAATCCTGCGGATAACGCGCTCGCGGCGCGACGGTGTTGCAGGATTACGCCGGGCAGACGGGAGGCGATCGTCATTGACGGGCGAAGGGTGTCTCGCGCGTGCTTCAATCGGCGCATCGAGAGGTTTCCTCTAAGCCGTTTGTTGGAGTATTATTGCGGGAGAATTCCAAATATCACATTTTTACAAGGCGCTGTGTGCGTAATTGCCTGATTGAATCGGAGGCGAACGTTGCTTAGTACGCGGCGAAAATAATTAAAAGTTTCAAAATGGCATCTCTGCCTATCAATCGGCGTGAATATTTATTTAGTACAGAAATCCTGCAGTTCGTATCGGATGTGTCGATGCTTCAATCGGGGAAATTTTGGGAAAAACATTTTTATACCTTTTCACTGAAATTTCAAGGCCTAAAGAGACACGAAAAGCTTGCAGAAACACTTTTATACAAGTTGGATTTTCTGTTAGATACGGTAAAACATAGTAGTGCACATACGTACATACATATAATAACCCAACGTAGAAGTGGAGTGTTCTTCCCACCTTCTCCCTCTCTTTCACTCTTAGGACGTCTTAATGTTATCCGGGTTAAACTGACACTCTTTAATTGCATGGCATTTTGTTGCACTCCCCAAAATTAGTTTTACTAACAGCATCGATATTTTGAATCTTCTGGTGTAGTTCGAAGTTTCAAGTAATTTGACTTCGAATCTTCGAGCTTCGTCGTCGAATGCTGAATTATATCGAAATTTCGAAGCTTCGAATATGTCGAGTAATACTATCTCTAGTATGTAGAGTGAATTATGATGTACACGACCGAGTCGAGATGAATTACGAACGGAAGGATCGCGCTGTCCCGCTGAAGCCGCAGCAGCCCGATGATATTGTTTTACGAGCGAGATCGCCGAAGAAGTACGATGGTACACGCGAGCAAAGTGTTCCGCGTCTCGTTCCACCTGACGTAATGTCCACGCAGACTGCTATACGAGCCGCTGCCGGTCGCGGTCCGGCGAAGGAAGACGTAGCATTGATAGCCGGACATTGAGCGACGTGCCTGGAAGAGACACCGCGATCCACCGTCGTCAAGTTCCACCGACCGATCTCGCCTGGAATTCAATTGGCGCTCTTCCGCGCCGTGTCGTAAGAGAGTCCAAATATGGAATCCAGGTTCATCGGGATGCTTTCTCCCTCTCTCTCCCTCTCTCTTGGTGAACCATAATCGGTAGCTGAAGCACCGAAGCAGAAGAGTCGGAGAACCCGCGGCTTCCCTACGTTGTCTCGATAACAGCGTTGAAATATTTCCCCGCCGCGAACAAAAGCTAGAGAAAGAGAATAGAGAGTTCATCATCACCCTGGACTTAGACCCTTTGAATTTACAGGATATAATATTTTAACCGAATATAGTCCGATTATATAAAAATGAACGAATAAGATTAATAAGAAGATAATAAGATAAGAAAAGGATTTCTAGAAATCAGACAATATCTATCAGCATAAAGAAAGAGAGAAAGTGTCTTGTGCTTTGTTTCTTTTCTATCTCTTCGTCGACCATCATCATCGTTGTTTCTCTCGCAAGACACTGCGATGCTCCGTCGTGTTGACGCTTTCAATTATCGCCAATCGTCTCGTTCTATTAAACCTCCACATCGGTCTTCTCATCGGTCACCTAGCCGCTCCATTTCGCGCTCTTTCCGTCTCACCCGGACGACAGTTCCGCTTGGGCTTGTTCCTCTCGTTCTCCGAAACATTTTGCGATCTCTCAACACGAACGTGCCCGGTGTATCCTTCTCATTCTCGATATCTGACAGTCGTCTCGCCGGATTCGCGTGTCTCAGACACGAGAATACTCAGGACCCGTTCGACCCTATCTCCTCTCCCTTCGCTCGTCGTCATCGTTCTACGACGTGAGAAAATCGTCTCGAATTTTTCTCAGGCGGAGTCGCCGCGTCGACACCGATCGCCTCCTGCGACAGGTTACACCGGTGGCGGCCGAGTCGGCTCTCTCTCTCTCGAGGTCCCCCGACGATTCCTGCTCCTGCGTTCCACCACAGCGTCCTCCACCTCCTTCACCACACCGCCGCCACCACCACCATCACCACTACCACCACTACCAACACCACCGTCACCACCACCACCACCATCATCTTCCGCCACCACCGCCAGCGTCGCCGCCGCTGCCAGCATCACCACCTTCGTTCATCCGCCACTTCCACCTACTCCCGGCTACCACCTCCTCTTTCGCAGGTAGCGCAGGGTACTCGCCATGTGACTGATTCCCCTTCTCCGCAGGTTGACGAGCGGAGGGCCTGCCTACCTGCCGCCCGTTGCCCCGCTCCCATTACGGCGCGGACTCTCGCGGCAGGTGCACCAACCCAAGTGCCACTCCGCTTACCTGTGTGTCGTGCCTACCAAGGCAAGAGCAGTGTGTCCGGTGGTCAGGTTCTTCCCTCTCTCTTCTCTCTTTCTCTCTTTCTCCCCCTCCCCCTCTTTCTTTCTCTCTTTCTCTCTCTCTCTCTCTCTCTCCTCCTTTCCCCTGACTATCTCTTCCTCCGTCTTTTTTTTTTACTTCTGTCTATCCCCCTACCTGTCTCCATCTCTGTCTCTCTCTGCCCCTACTGTCTTTGTATATCCGTCTATCCTCTTCGACATCACCTCACGCAGTGGTGCCGTGTAGTAGTGTCGTGTCATCCCGCGGTACGTCAACGATCCTCCCGGGACTGAAGGCAAGGATCGGCCGGGTCGAGGATATACTCTGCGATTACCGGGCACGATCGGTCTCGTCAGTGTACGCTAGAGTGAGGAAAGTGAGGCCCAGCACCAGAGGCTGTAGGCAGTGATAGCTCGATGTCGGTACGGGATGTACGTGATGTCTTGACACCGGCTTGAACGCAGGTTCACAGGTGGCGACGTACGAGTGACGTACCTGTGTGGCTCGAGGTAGCGAGAGAGAGAGAGAGAGAGAAAGAGAGAGAGAGAGAGAGGAGTCCGATGGTGACGGACGAGCGTGTTGGTGGAACTTATCGGCGCGATGATAGGAGATAAGAGCGCTTCGTGATCGAGATCCGCGCTCGGATATCGGGGAGGTATTTTGCGTCGTTGGAATTCCGCTTGCTACCTACGTGAAACGTCTCGACAGTGGCCGAGATTCGGCCGATGGGAGAAAAGCCGTATGAGAAAAAGTCACGACAGAGGGTGATCGTGTGTGGCCATCCCGTCCACGGTTCGCATCGAGTCGATCAAGTGCGTGGAGGAAGGGGACACATCCAGTGAAGGTGTCAAACGTCGGCGGCACCTCATTGACATTTCCGTGACATTTAGTGCGCGATTCAAGTCGAGTGCCAGACACCTTTCCGTGTAACACGCGCGTCCCGACGATGTCGTTCTAGCGACAGCCTGTAGGGATAGCGCTGATGGTCGGCGTGACATCTTTACCGTCGTCGTCGTCGTAACGACGTTGCGATGAATGTTGGGAGGAAGGGCGGTGCGGCAGAGAGGAAGTGATACGAGAACGTGGCGAGTTGATGACGCGTCTTCCGTGCCTTATCAGCGCGGTAACTGGAGCACCGTAACCGTCGAACACTCTATTTGAAAAGACTTATCTGTCTCTCGGAATTTTTCATTTGCACGTGCACGGCCCCGACGACCCGGCGTTTTCGCAGAGGCCTGTTGCGTGCACGGTCGAGCGACATTGAAACCAAATCCTCGACGGTGGACTCGTTTCCGAGACTCCGGGCGGCTTCGTGCAACAGGTGGCTCCTAGCCGGACAGGCTATCGGGAAGAAGAACGTCGGATTCTTCTGCGACGTCCCGAACGGAGGGCGGAGAATCGCTCGGGTGAAGGTCGACACCGATTGCCAAACTGGACATTCTTACCGCCACGTCGGGAAGAACGGAGTGGAGATGTCCGCGGGTCGCTGAGAGAATGAGGGAGCTGGACACTGAGAGCCCTGTCGTCTGGCCAGCCTGGTGTTATACTGGTGAGTCAAAGCGTTCGTCAAGGAACGCGAGAAGTACGATCCAATCGAATTCTTATTTCATTGTGACATTGTCTCAGAATTCTTCAATGTATGTATTGTATCCGTTATATACGATTCGCGTGCAAGTTTACCCAACTCGGATTTTTCGTCCTGTATTAATCTTGCAAATTCTGTGGAATTTGAGGATTCCGCGACCATTGGATCCGTAGCCATTGGATTATCTTGACAGTAGAGCCTATTGTCCTCCTCTGATGCTACAAAAATGGGTCTTTGGTGTCGTTTTCTTTAGATCAAGGCTTAAAAAAGACAAGTTTGTAGAATAGTAGGGCGATATAGAATAGCATAGGCTCTGCATTATAAGTATCTTAGGAAATGAATATTAAGAATTGTTTAATTTTTGATTACCTCAACATTTTACATGTATTTATACGGATTGTTAGATAAGTTGAAGCATGCCTTTTGCATGCTAACTCTATTATATTGCTGTACTTTTCACATATAAATCGCACACATAGCACACAATAAAGTTATTATTTTGAGAAGTTATTCTTTATTCTCAATGTCTCTCTTATAAACAATCTATTAGTTATGTAACTAATTACAGACAAAATATGCGAAGTAGTAAATACTAAATAATGTAGACACATACTGATTATATAAAATAACAAACTTTATTTTTTAATTATCTCTTTGTTATTTTGATTATTGACGTTGGGAATTTCAATAGGATTTAGAGCTTTAGGAGGGGAAAAAGAAGGGATTGTAAGTAGGAAGCATTGTTACATACGCAAGTTAACACTTGCGAGATTTGCAATAGATTCTAAATTTTGAGTCGGAGCCCTTCCGATAATTACCACGCGTGCGACGGTCCTGGTAATGAAGGTCGTCGTAACGTCCGAAACGTCGATTGTTATAATTTCGTGGCGTCGGAATGTACGCGTCATCGATCGGCGGCCGGCAACGGCGCTTGGCGGGGGTGACTCTGTCCTATTCGCCGATTGTTTTGGTACTTGCGCGCGCGTCATTACGTTTCGAGCCGATGAGCACGACGCATTTACCACGGAGCGGGTGTATCGGTGAGTTGTTTACATATTCCCCGTCGGGCGGATTACGACATTTCCTGGCCGTTCTTGAAATATTTCATCGGACTCTCGTTGGCATCGCGTTTCTTGTTACCGCGTATTCTTCAGAATCAAGTACGAATCTTCGTCTTACGCGAGTGTCAGTGCTAGTGGGTGTCCTGCACGACGAAGCAGCCAGGATCAGGATGCCGAATCGGAAAGTCGCGACCGAGAACGCAGGACGTAGGCCGACGGGACGCGGACAGCGGCATATCTTACATTTTCAGGTGTGTCACGAATCATTTATTACGTGGGACGTTTCGGTCTCTCATGGATATTTCGCGAATTTACCGGAAATGAGGAGATATCGGTCGAAATTTAGGATTTGAGGTTCCGCAACTATTGATTTATGCGTCTAACAATGCTTCCTGCGTCGAGAAGTGAATCTGCTAACCTTTTCTTTTTATTCCACTTTTATCGTATCGAATTTAAATTGAAATCTCTTACAACACACAGCATTATTAAACGCACAACTGTGTTGTTATTCTTGTCCTCATGATTTCTTCTTTTATATCCTTCTGAATCTCCAAATCCTATTGAGATTTTCAACGGATAAACAAAAGATAAGTAGAGATTATCAGAAAATGTGTGTTCCACTACAAGTTAATTGTATTTACTCACTTGTTTTTATCGAATTATTTAATAAAGTAATTATTTGTAGCTTCAAGCGCGGAAAAAAGGAATTAGCTGTCCATATAATACAAATGAAATTGACTTACCAGACCTAGTTTTTAGCTCTCATAGCCATGGGAGCTAAAAACTAGGTATAGGGACAAAAAATTAACTAGATTTCAGTTGTATTATATGGACAGCTAATTTTTAGCTGTAGGAGCTAATTCTTTTCTTTCGCGAGGCAAGACCATAGCCTGTCATGTCTCGAGACTTTTCATTGATTCTGCAAATTCCCGGAATTTTCAGCGTTAATGCGGAATCAATATTTTGACTCGGGTCTTTATGTTTGTCATACAACGACCATAGAGTGATAATTCCCAATCAACGCGCGAAATTCGAAACACTCCCCGTCGCGTTGACTTTCTTTCATAAGTGAAAATTACAAATTCTACAGATCCTCTCGAAATATCTTGACAAGTTCAATCCATTTTCGTTGGGTCTATTTTCGCAGTAGCTAAATTCGACGACGTGTCAACTGTCCTCGTCGGTTGCTCGAAGATATTTTTCGACATTGGAGTAAACTTGAAATGCAATGTTTGGACTCGAGAGGCGACTCACTCGCCAGTGTGACGTTTTCTTTTCGTAAACAAGCGTCAATTAGTCCATCGATTGCGCGAGTAGGTCGAGTTGGTCGACGAAGTCGTAACGAGCCGTGGCACTGTAACAGGATGCAAATAACCGCAACGGCTTATGGAAAGTTACGAAACACACGCGGCGGTCGAGTGGGCGTCACGCCGCGGCTTTGGTATTCGTACCTTATTACACTCTATCGACAGGTCGAATGACAGACGTAAAACAAACACGAGCCCCGGCGAGAAGAACGCGAGCGTGCGTTCACGAGAGCTCGGCAAATGATGTAATAAACGACAGTAGTTAGCTACCTTTCCTGATGATCTAATCGCAGTTTGCAGTTATAAAGAAGGAATAACTAATGTGTCTGATGATGATCGCAGTATTATAAACGCGAGATAGGAGAATCCTTGGACAATTATATCTAAAGTCTGTATTGCATCAGATTTTTTATCAACTTTCTTTCTTTTACATCTGAAATCAGTCTCTACTTATCTCTACTTATATTTATAATTATATTGATTAATTTATAGTTATACTGAACAACATTGTTCAAGTAAATGTTAGGTTGTTGCAAAAGTTTTGTCAGTTTCTTGTATGTGTTTCTTTGCAGTTGATTTTCTACTAATCTTTGCCGGTCTTTGGTCTCAAATTTGTGATTAAATGTGATAAACTGACAGAACTTTTGTAACAACCTAATATTGACTAAGAAGTATCGTAGTAATTTATTTAATCCGACTAAAATAAATTAGCCAATATTTACCTGAACATAGGAATTTTTTTCCCAGTGTAATGTATATTTCTCTTAACGTTCTGACGAGATGCAAAATACATTTATTTCTTGTCACCTTTGTCGCGTTTATCTGTATTGTTGCGATTAAGATTACAGTTTTAATTGTAACAAAATTGAGAGGATAGTTCTAATAACGGCGCGATGGATTTCGCGAAAACTAATGCTTACATGTGCAAGATGTAAGAAACATTCGTAACGTTTGTCCGGTTTTATCACGGCCGGTTCTCAATTTCTCGGAAGTTTCAACTCACCGCACGATATCTTTTTAATATGTCAACAAACTCGTACCAAGCGCGGTACGCGATATAAGTTCGTCACGAGTAAAATTCAAGCTCTCGTTCAAAATGTCAGATGTGAAATTTATACGCTCCGTTTAATTAATAATCGATCGAATTTTTCGAAACATCTCTTATAAAAACGAGAATCACGTAATGCGTTTCCTTTTATTAATTTCTCTTTTTTAATACGCTTATCAATTTTTCGAGGTTTTAACCTTTACCCGTTTCGACTGGATTTCTGGGACCACGACGTATCGCGATTAAGTCGCAAAATGATCTATTCTGGGCCCCTAATGGTTCCCCCTTCTCCTTGCATATTTATAATGTGGTGAACACACGAAAGGGGTCATAGGTTTCTGGAGAGTGGTTTTTTATCGCCTCTTATCAGGCCAGACTTCTCGATTACCCCTTAGGTCTGTTGGTTAAACTCTCTCTCTCTCTCTACCTGCCGAATTAGCCGGCGACGCTGCCGCCTCCGCCGCTCCTCGTTTTGCCACGCAGTGAGAATTCATCCGGTTCCGTTAACGGGGGAGACCAGCCCCGAGAGAGAGAGAAAGAGAGATGAGAATGAATCGCGGAGGGTGTAATTATGGTGCTCGATCTTGACAATTAGGAGCCCTTGGAAGCTGTCGGTAGCGAATAGGGGTCCACTTAGCTCTCGCAACTTCCACAGCAGCTTTATCTCATCCAATCGGCCCGCGCGTTATTCGTCGGTGTCTTCTAATTAAGAGGGAACCGGCGGATATTTTTTTCCTCTTGGCCCCGAACGACTAAGAATCGTCGTCGTTCTGGACTCTCGTTGTCGAACGAAAAGCGGTTGATTCTTCGAGTTTCATTTTCACGGTCTCGCGTATATTTACCCTTAATATCTCAATTCGCCGTTCGACACCGGCGGCGGCCCGTCATTCTCGGGACCGCGGTTTCCATTCGAAACGTATGAGATCACGTCACGGAGTGAACCACCGGTAAAAAACGCGCGAGCTGGTAATTAATCGCGCGTAGTCGGCTTCGTTCTCGGAAACACGCGATCCGTCTCGAATCGGCGTCCGGCCGAAACGCGCGCTATTTTGCCAGTCAGGATATTAATAAACTTTTTTCAGCGGTGCGCACATTATTATCCCGGCGCGCGTTGCACGCGGCTGCCCGCGTTCGTTAGCGTTCGAGAATAGCGTGGCAAAACCGGCGTGATTTGGTGACAGAACCGATCCTACGGAACAGATTCGTCACGGTGTGAGTCGCGGTAATGGCGAGTGAAGAGGGAGAGAGAGGGGAAGGGAGTGAGGGAAGAGACATTTTGCGGACGCGCGGCGAACGCCGTCACTCCGGTCGCGACCGCTAATGCGATTACCACCACCGTCGTCGGCTCTTTCGTAGTCACCACCAGGAAACGGGCATTGTCTCGCGTCGCCGAAACGAATCGTCGCCGCGGGCGAGACCGCGCCGCAGAAATCCATTTTCGGAATTCGCGAATTAGCGGGAGCCACGGTCGTTAGAGACACTATGTTCCCCCGTTAGTTTCCTTGTTTCGGCAAATTGCCGAGTCTCCGCTGATCGACGCGGAAGAAT